TGATTCTTTTTGGGCACGACGACACATTTTGAAGGGGAAAAAATGAGTTGTCAAGAAAGGGCAACAATTCCCACACTTCACACCACCCTGCTGGGCTGCAAGCGCTGCCACTCCAACAACTAACTCCTCCATACAGTAAATCACGTGGAACACAAAGCTGTGTCCGTGTCCCGTCCCCCTACACCCCAGAAAACTTATTTTTCTTTCTGAACCAGATCACAAACTCTTTCCTTTAAAGGCTGGTCACGTTACATAGGCTACAAACCCCAATCCAGAGAGGGTTATTGTATAAAACACTTCCACGTAGGGGAAAAACCTCTGTAGAGAGGGGTAAAACATAAATCTCCAGCAGGATGGAAAAAAACCAAACAGCTTAGGAAAAATTACACCTTAGAAAATCCAGTCTCTTCAAGTTAATTCAATTTTGTAATTATTTCCTTAATGAAGCAATGAAATGAGATTTCAAAACCGATCAGATATACTTTGGTTTGTTTCTCTCTTCCCAAAGAAGCAGGGAAAGCTTTCTCCCAGCATGTGAAAAATTGCTCATCCCCAAATATGCCCCAACAACCGCCCCCTCCCCGTCCCGGAGCCCCCGTGTCTGCCCAGAGCTCTGCCAGTGGCAGGGGAGAAGGAAAACCGCAGCAGACCCCCAAATTCTCTCCTTTTTCACTGCACAAAGTTATTGAGAATGCTGGCAAAGTATTGCTCCATGCTAGGAATTAACAAATCTTGGGAAAAAGAGTTAATCCGAACGCTTCAGGGCTTTAGTATCAGACACCCAGCGGTGCTGGACGCGGGGGATTATCGTTTCCCAGTCGGAGGGTGGGCGCCCCGTCTCTGGACACGGCAGGTCGATCTCCTGCTCTGCTCTTTGGAACAGGATGCTGCAGCAGATGGACCTGCCATCCCAGCCCGGCTAGAAACGCCGGCGTCATCAACACTAGCGCACTACTTTTTTGGTTTTCAACAGTCAAAACAGTTTTCATGGACAATTTGCAGCTTCGGAGCTCCTCCCTCCAGCAACACCGTGCTCTACAATAGACACAAGACGTTGCTGAAGGTCTGTGTAAAGACAGCGAAGGAACAGGGTGCTCCTGCCGAAAAACAGACATAACCCCAAAATTAGGCATTAAAGTAGCTTAATTAAATCTATTTCCGCTGTCACTTACGCACAGCACGTACGCAGCAGAGAGGTAACAGAACAGCATTAATCCTGCTCGCCGTGTGGAAAGCTAATAGAAATTCCCACCAGGTACAAGCTTTGTGGGATATAATCCCAGGGGACTGACTGACATGACACTCTTCATCATGGGAGAATTTCATGAACTAGGTGTCTCAGGAGCACACAAACAACAGGACGTGACTTCGCTGAGCACAGAGGATTGTCACTTACTATCTTTATGCTATAACTGAAAACGAAACCACAGTGAGAGACAACCTTCTAGGTTCTGATGGCTCTTGGAAAGGGACTACGGCAGAGATTAGAAACACGGCTGGGAGAAGGCAGCACCGGGGAGTTTCGTGGTCACATCACCGATCTGCTCTGGTAAGGGTCGGTTTGTTTGGTCACCACGGTGCAAACCCCACTGCGGGCTGGGGAAGGTGCCTGCATGCCCGGAGTCACGTATCGACACCCCAGCAACGCAGCCACGGATACTGGATGTGGTCACCACTCAACCACACTCTCTGTGAAGATGTGAATTGGGAAGAGTCACTGTGTCCATGGATGAGTTTCATTTCCAAAGAGTACGATTTTGCAAGCGCTCGAACTTTCCTGGGTCTATTGCTCGTTTCGATAGCCCAACAACTGTCACGTTGAAAATTCAGACTCCTCATTCTGCAGCTGAGAACTGTGTTCAACTCTGGAGCTTCCAACATCAGAAGGACATGGAGCTGTTGGAGCG